ATGAATTTCTATACGAACAAATCATCATCGTCAGAGACTTTTTCCAACTATTTTGGGTCGACTACACGAATCCTAGTCCACCATTCTACTCTATCAAGGGCTATAACCTTAATGAGGTCAGAAAGTCCCCATATCTTTTCTTATTACTTTTAACCATATCGTTTTGGCCCTACCCCTTGCTCTTTTTAAGCTTTCTATTTGAACTAACTCGCACCTCCTAACAGATGTTATAATGGGTCTACGCTATACACGGTCTGCCCCACCTAAGTCTACTTTCTCTTATCTTATCATCTATTGAAGTCATACCTAAGTTCTCCAATATGTATTCATTTCAAATTATATCACGTATTGTCATGCCACTCATCCATCTCAACATCATCATCTTAGCTACACTCATCATATGGGTATGTTGTTTCTAGACCGCCTAATATTACACCCCATAGAGCAAAGCTGTTATTGCAATTATCTAATAGAACTTTCTCTTCAGCTTCATTTGTATATGTTGCGATCACATAAAACTATGTTTGCACATCTCCACTTCACCTACCCATCTCTAATTCTATGTGCGACAACTTCCTCAATTTCTCCATTTTTCTGACTTGCTGACCCAAGATATCGAAAGTGCGTTCTGTTTTAATTTCTTGGTCATCAGTCTTAACTATTTCCTTGCCTCTGCTCTTTTTCTCTTTTTTTTTTTTGGGTAGATTAGTGGGGAATCTAGGCCCCTACCCATTTTTAGAAATAATTAGCGATTTTCGAATGCGTCAATAGGAATCGAAACCTAGACCGGTAGTTGAGGCTCAAGTGGTACTACCACCATGACCTCAACCTCTACTCTTATTATTACTAACTTGCATTCCATATACTATGTCTTAGACTGGCTGATTTTAAAACCTTTATATTCTAAAACATCCGTCCAAAGTTCTAACTTTGTGTTGATGTCGTTTTAGGTCTCATTGATCAAACTATGTCGTCCGCGAACAACATACAACACTGGTACCTTATCGTGTAAATGCCTAATTAAGTTATCTATATAGCCACAATGCTAACCCCTGATGTAAACCTATCGCCTCTAAAAACTCACTAGTCTCTCTACTAGTTGCTCGTTCACTAGTGAATACTCCCTCATACATATCTCTCACTAAGTCGATATAATATCTAGAGACTCATTTCTTTTCTAACACCCACTAAATTAAATCTTGAGGTACTTCATCATAAGTTTTTTCTAGATCAATAAAGACCATGTGGAGGTATTTTCTCTTCGTCATAAACTTCCCAATCAATTGCTTAAGAAGGAAAATAGCCTCAATTGTTGACTTCCTTGGCATAAAATTGGATTGGTTTATTGATATACTCGTTTCATGCCATAGTTATTGCTCAATCACTCTCTCCAACATCTTCATAGTGTGACTCATAAGTTTGACCCCTCGATAGTTCGTACAAATCTATATATCTTTTTTGTTCTTGTAAATAAGTACCACAGTACTTTTCCTCCATTCATGAGCCGTTTTTTGTTCATATATATATATATATATATATAATGGTAATTATATATATATGAGTTATTTTTCACCATACTAATGGTAATTATAGAAAAGTCTACTCTCATATAGTAAATTGCCTTTAAAACAAGGGGAAAAGTTTCTATGATTTCCCTACAGCATAGAAGTTCTATCCTCCCCATACAGCCGCCCAATTTTGATCAAGAAAGTCCCTCACCGTTTAATCTTAGATCCGACATCTCAAAGTATTTTATTTTTAGTTTTTTTATACAAATTGTATGAATATGAAGTTTGGTATGTGACATCTTCTCATTGGGTCGCACCTATAAAAAATATTAAAAATAAATTTTTGATAAAATATAATGACCACAACACCCCTTAAAACTTTTAGGCGTATTTTGATTATTTTATTTTATTGAAAATAGTTTTTTTATATATTTTTCGCTAGTGCGAGTTTAATAGAGGAATGGACATCCAAAATTTGGTGTCAAAATAGTTTATAGAAAAAAAAATTAAAAATAAAATAGTGTAAAGATGTGACATTGTGATTGGGGCAATCTTAGCTCTCAATTCAGAATGGACGGTTGGATACGGGGGAAGATAGAACTTCTATGCTGTAGGGGAAGCATAGAAAGCTTGCCCTAAAACAATTACAATTACATGAATGTATTATTTATTATCAAATAAAACAAGGGAAAGGTTTCTATACTTCCCTTACATCGTAGAAGATCTATGCTTCCAGCCGTCCAGTTTTGATCAAGAGAGCCACTCACTGTTTGATCTTAGATCCGACGTTTCAAAGTATTTTATTTTTATTTATTTTTATACAAATTGTATGAATATGAATTTTGGACGTGCCATCTTCTCATTGAGGCACACCTATAAAAAATATTAAAAATAAATTTTCGATAAAATATAATAATCAAAATACCCCTTGAAACTTTCAGAGGTACTTTTGGTCATTTTATTTTATTGAAAATACTTTTTTAATATTTTTTTGCTAGTGCAAGTTTAATAGAGGATTGGACGTGCAAAATTTGATGTCAAATAGTTTATAGGAAAAAAAATTAAAAATAAAATATTGTAGAGATATGACATTGTGATTGGGACAATCATATCCTCGTACCCTTTATTTTTTGTTTTCATATCTCAACAGACTCAAAAATTCAAAATATATCTCATAACCCCTTGATTAACTTTACCTAATTTTAACTATTTTTTTAACCTTAACAAATATAAAAAAGATATGCTCATTCTAAATCCTTCATGATAAATTTCCCTCTTAAATTTTTCTCTCTAACATTCACCCTCTGTCTCTCGAATGGGGGAGAGAGAGATTGAAATATACAGGACAAGAGAGAGTGGGAAAATAGGTAGAGAGAGATTTATAGGAAAATCACGTGAAGAGAGAGAAATGATTGTGTTTAGAAATGATATATCTTCCTTATATTTGTTTGGAACAAAAAAAGAAAAATTTAAAATGAATAAAATTAGCTTAAGCATTAAAATATATAAAATTTAAAATTTTTACACCTCAAGACATGTTTTGAATTATTGAGACTCGTGATATATAAAACTAAAAAATGAGGAGTGTGGCCATAAGTTTTATAGAAGTATATGGGATGTAATTTTAAAATAAAAGACCTCTTCCCGTGGAGCCCGAGAGTCTCCCCCTCTCTCTCTCCACAGTGACGCCACTCAGACACACTCTCTCTACCCTTGTGAAGCGTCCAAAACTCTTTCTCTGTGTCTCTCCTTCCCAGCACAGAGCTGCAACAAGTAAAACATTTTGCTTTCCTTTCCAAATTAAAGACAAAAGAAAAGATAGAGAGAGAGCTCCATTAAACATTTGGATGCCTTTCTCAAGTAAAGAAACAAAAATAAGAGATAGAAAGAAGCAGGACTTCACTAGCAAGAGAGAGAGAGAAACAGGAAAAAGGCTTGTCTAAAAGGATGGCATGGCTGATTTCTCTCACATTTATCCTTGGGTTTCAATTCTACAAAGGAAGAAACTAAAAGAAGTTGCAGGACGATTGCATGGGTGATTGCTGGTTCTGAGCAATGGTGGTGGCCTGTGCTTGGCTTTAATGACTTAATGAGTGGTTGCTGGTTCTGAGCAATGGTGCTTTGCCTCAGCCATCTCTCTATACCCCCAAATCTCTCCGTGAGGCCCCCAAATCTCTCTCCATATATATCCCGTGAAGCCCCCAAATCTCTCTCTATATCCCATGAATCCCCAAGCCATCTCTCTACCCTACAATTACATTTTATGTTTTGTTTTAATGTGACAATGAAGAATATATTCATATAATTGTAATTTTTTTTTAGGGATGTTCAAAGTTTAGGAGTAGACTTTTCTAAAATCACTATTACTATGGTGAATTCTAGAATAACCCTCTATATATCAAATAAGAGATTGTGAATAAAGAGTTAGTAGGAACAAGTATACATTAAGTTACATTCCAAAGAGTACAAACAAACAGACCTATGTCAAAGGGGAGAGAAAAAAAAAAGAAGGGGAGGAAGGAATCAATTATTACCCCTCTCTTAAACCTATCTTCCACATCATTGGCTTTAAAATAGATATGTCAAGAAGATAATCCCTTAGATTCTGATGAACTAAGTAACATAAAATTGAGATAATCCTACTAAACAGTAGATTTAGTGAGACATCTGAATCAAACCAGAAATATCTGATTTGGATAACTGTGAACAAAGTTATTGCCTGACAAAGTTTCAGACTTCTAATTGCACCAAAAAAACTACTTCTGATGGGCTTATCATTTCCAAACTATGTCATAGAATGCCCCGCACATTGTCAACACCAGTCTTGAACAAGTCCCATCTTATGCACACCATGAAGCCATAATATTGCATTTAGCTCCCTTTGTAAGTTACCCAGGTGATGTAATGGAGTCCTTAAAGAAATTAAAGAAAGCAAAGACAAAAGTGTTCAGCACTTGGGTTTTTTCCATAGATTTACATATGTAAGCATCTCTTTGTGAAGACACTAGCGGATCCTACCCCCTAGCACTGAATGAGGGTAAATCGTTCGGTAAATTTCTTATGTTCTCATTTCTTGATTCTATGACTATTTCTTGAAATTATTGTTTTTGATTGTTGAGTCTCTACCTCCCCTACTGGCAATAGCAGAATCTGCAGTTTCCAGTTTGATCAAGATTGGTCTCCCACAAAGAGTGGAATGTATAATCATCATTTTTCTCGTCATAAAGGAGCTAAAAGTGGTGGAGGCTACATTTGTCCAAGGTGCAAAGCATGCATAATTGACTACCCAGATATGTGGGTTAAGACTCATGAAGCAAGGTCCTATCATCATCACCATTCAAAGAAAAGCCGACCAGACAAGGAGGTTACCAATGACTTGTTGTGGCTGCCAGTCAACCAGAAGATTCTCCCAAAACCAGGTAATTCATACATTATTGCTACCTAATAACACAACATTTGCATTCCATACCTCGATTTGATTAAACTATTTTTTAGATATTTAATATTTGCCTATTCGTCTATCGGTGCTGACTATAGAAGTGTTAATAACCACAGATGCAAATGCTAATCTTTGACAACTAAATGAAAACAATTTCTAGAAAATAATGGATATGCTCAAATGGAATTTATAGGTACTTTAGTTTTAGGTGCATGGAGGAATTGTTTATTCACCAAATAGTGCTTGTCTGTAGGACAGTGTTCCTTAATACGTCCCATAGCAATTTAATTTGACAGTGGAGAAAGTAGAGGCCTGCTATTTTGGGGTAAAGCGTTTTATTCAGTCAGTTTATATTAGCACACACTGTTACTACCTCTGACTTGGATCCGTATAAACACCTTTTTACCTAATCACACATATAATAGTGAGTGCGACTAATCACACATATAATAGTGAGTGCGACAGACTTGCCGGAACATGCAAACCAGCCCTTAGTTTCTTATGTCACTTCTATTAGGTTAACATCAGTTAGATAGTATATTGAAAACATGAATGAGCAAAATGTGCAGAGAATTCATCAAAGTCATAATGAGCCTAAAAGGCTTTTATACACAGTAACTTTGGGTAAAATGTTTGAAACTACGCAAGTAAAATATAACATTGTATACCAGAATTATAAAACAGTAAGTTATTTCTTTTTTATGTTCATAGTACTTTCTCGAGCATCAGTAAAAGTCAGTTCTCAAAATAAAAGAATTGATTTCTTCCCCTCTTCCAAATCTTTGAGGAACATGATTCAACCCACATTGCCCTGCTTCTCCCCTACAACTTTTCACATCCTCCACGTACCCCCTATGTTCCCTAGATTCCCCATGCCCCTATGCCAAATTTCTCATCTGCTGCTGTTGGTGCCTTTTGTGACCGCACATTTCAGCAAAACATTTTCATTTAATATACGTGTGCAATTTATTACTGTAGTTTCCAAAATTTCCTTGTTTCCATTTATTATTTTAGAAAAGGGAAGTAGTCCCTGTTTCCAATAATGTCATAGCTCAATTACCCATTTCCCTCAACTGTTTTTCAAACATTCATTCTCAAAACTATTCTATCCTTCTACAACCACAATTGATTTGAGTTTAGTTCAGTTTTGCCCCAGCTATCCTGTTTCAATTTTTTGGGCTTCAATGATCGTGCTTTATAGGCTTTCTTCAGATATGGACAGATTACTGATGTGTTTTTTGTCATCTTCCTTTTTAACATATTATTTTCCAAACTTTTACCAAGAGGAAGGAGTGCTACAAATATTTTTTCCTTCTTATTGCGGGTACTACTTTTTAACTGGTATTTTGGGTTCAATTTAGACCAACTGCCGCGTGCAATGAATGAACATTGATGGTCTAGAAAACTATTAAGAACCAATTTAATGAGGAGAATTGAAGTTATTACTTGAGTAAAAATCAATCAAATATTGAAAAGGATGTTAAATGTTGTATATCAATTAGTTGCGCCTATGGGTGTTGGAAAATCATCTTGGCTGATTTTAACAACTAAAAACTTAGGATTGTTCAGAATGAGTGAGAACCAGAGTGAGATTCCTCTTCTTCATCGAGAAACACTGCCCTGTATTTCATAGTTCCCAAAATTTTCATGACACAGAAATCCAGGAAGAACGGTCAAGGATGCTGGTCACCTCTAGAAAGCTTTCTTAGACAATAATATAAAGTCATCAATCAAGCCTTTGGCTTAAAGGTAAGACTCCCCGTTAGCAAATTGCAATGGGAAAGGTCTCGGCTATGAACCTCCTGAAAACCAAGCTCATCTAAGTCATTCACTTTAACCCAGGCAGCATATGACTTTTTTTAAGTTCTTTTGACAACTTTGGTATTTGAAACTTTATTTGGGAGTTGTTGGGCGTTATTAAGGAACCACAAGTAGAGGTTGCAAAGAAATATAGCTGTATATAATATACAGCATCTGACAAAGAAAAACACCGTCCTAATGATATTATATATATACAATAACAAATGATGGGGAGTATAAATGGCCATTATTGCCTTGAAATTCATCCCCATGCATTTAGCAAACTGCGCTCTTAAGAAGGGAGGAGGAACTAACTATGTTTTAGCACAGTCACTAGTTCAGGTAACTCTAGAGGCAAAGGATTCAACCAGTGTTCCTCATGCCAGCAGCTATTCCATTGATGGTGATGAGAAGTGCATCACGGAGCTTGTGGTTGTCATCATCCTGGCGTAAGCGGCGCAATATCTCGACCTGGATCATGTTGATAGGGTTAAGATAAGGGAGCCTGCTCTCGATCAAACGCCTCAGGCTCCTATTGTTCTCCGAGAGCCTTTCGTGCCCACTCACAATCAGCACATACTTCTCGGTCCTGCACAGCTCCACCCTCAGCTCCTCTCCAAGCTTCTGTCTAGATGGGGAGACCAGAACCTCCTCGTAGTGCTTGGATATGGGGACATCTGCCTTTGCCAGAACCATCTCTATCAGGTCGATGGTTGACTGGAAGAAGGGCCACTCCTTGTACATTGCCTGAAGCTCTTCTTTGTATCCTTTCTCACAAGCCCACCTTAGCCCTGTCCCAACCCCGAGCCAAGCAGGCAAAACGAGCCTGGTCTGTGTCCATGCAAAGACCCAAGGGATGGCTCGTAGTTGACCTATGCCTTTGCTGCCTTGACTCCTCCGAGTGGGCCTGCTGCCGATGTTGAGAAAACCCAGCTCGGATTGCGGAGTGGCTTCTTCAAAGTATTGGGGGAAGTCGTTATTCTCATAGACAGTGCTCCTGTAATGGTCACAGCTGATCCTTGATATCTCCTCCATCACATCTCTCCACTTGTGATCACGTGGTGGCTGAGGAGGCTGCAAAGTAGAGAGCAGCACGGCCGTGGTGTAAATCTCCAGCTGCCTCACCGCTGTCTGGGACAACCCAAATTTGGCCTGTACCATCTCTCCTTGCTCCGTTGACCGAAGCGTTCCCTAATCAGAATTTTATAACAAAATCCCCATTATTCTCTCATTACATAAACAGGAATTGATGTTAAAAACCCAGATTCTTATGATCACTGAATTTTTTTATTTTTTTCAAATAAAAAAGAATGAACAATGAAATAGAGAGAAGAACAGGTAACATGGGAAAGAAAAAGGTAAGAACGACATTCCCTAATGGAGATGACAAGGGGAAATCTACTAGGGGAAACATAACCGAAGGGAAAACTATCAATGAAGCCAAGCCTTCTCCAATTCATCAATGATAATTGCAGCGTAGTGAAAACAATCAGAAAGTTTGCAGGTTGGTTCATCATGTGCAGAAAAGCAGGGATGATGTCCTTGTTAGTTTGACGGAAAGAAAATAATGTACGGGCATATCTCTTTTATTTCCCCATACAGCGACCTGAAAACACAACTTTCCCAGCAAAGTGGCCCCTATGTTAAAATTTCTGAAAAAAGCTCATGCGTCGGACTTGAGGATGACTAGTATGTTCAATTTGATTACCATGACAGAACCAGGGGGCTGGGATTGTATAGCAAGATATGTGGGACCACCACCACGTCCAATACTTCCTCCACGTCCATGAAACAGTGTGACTTTGATGCCAAACTCATTGCAGGCAGCCACAACATCTTCCTGGGCTTTATACAGCTCCCAAGCTGCAGTAAAGCGACCTGCATCTTTTCCCGAGTCTGAGTATCCAACCATTACCTGCACACAGAAGCCACATTTTTTTTGGTTCTTTACAGTTTCTTGACCATTTATAGAGATCGTAGAGAATGTTGAACATAATCACCAACAACTTTTGTTGCTGTACCTCCTGGTGCCCATTGTGGCTTGTGATAATATGCTCCCGGTACCAGTCAATAGATAACAATTTCCGAATAACTGAGCCTGCTCCTCTCAAGTCTTTCACTGTTTCAAACAGAGGTACAACCCTCAACCTGCTTAACCATGAGGAAGCATTATGTCAAACCATTAATAGTCAAATGCTTAAACGATAATAATCATCATGGCAATGTCTATGGTATGTGTGCAGGAAACCTGTCTCCCAATTGCCATCAAAATGGAAAATGATTTGGCTTGCATATGCCTCTATGTGTGTGTGTGTGTGAGAGAGAGAGAGAGGGCAGGGGGAGGGAGAGAGAGAGATTCATACGTTCCCCCTGGACAGGGTCTCCCAAGCTCCCCACTTACAGCAAGACGTGCATCTTTTTGTAAGAGTTCCACTGCCAAAACATCACTAGCCTGCAATTCACAAGTGTCAGTCCCCCACGGTTGATGTCTCACGAAATATATGTTGCCAATAAGACAAGGGAGGTCATATTTTCTAGTCGCAACTTCTAATAAAAAGATCTTCTAGTTGCAACTTCTAATAACTGAGCTTGTGGTTGTGGCTCTGCCATACATACATTTGCAGCCATGGAAATTACATATGCTCCAAGAGACTCACTTCCCAGCTCGGCTGCTACACGAAAGGTGTCTAGGACCTCCCTCACATCAGCAACTACCTGAGAAGGCATGGAAGGTGGTGATATGCATATAAGCAGGATGAAAATTAAGAAGTTTCCACTGATTCAATGAAAAGCAAATAAACACCATTAATTCCCTGAATATTTCCACAGCAGAAATAACAACATAATGTACAAAACCTTTAGTCCCGAGGATGTCAAGGGATAAAAAGCTTCATTACTTGACTATATTGCCACATAAAGACTAACTAATTCTAACTACTTATTTTTTTTGTTTTTTGAAAATCATGCGAGTGAATTATGAGTCCTTATTGCTGCAAATTCATGTGTATACATGTAATTTGGTGTATGTACTCCAAATGTTAAATTGGATTACTCAATAATAAAATTTGAAAGTTTGCTTGATAAATTATGAATGTTGCGAAAATCACAGAGCCACACAGAAGAAAACAAATGTTTCAAGCATCAATTTACAACTCTAAAACCCCAGGAATATAAAATAGGAAAAGGAAATCATATATGCAACGCAAAATCTCTAAGTGTAGTTTTTCATCTAGAATAAATATGAAACTACAATAGATACAATTAAAGTTAAATGTGAAATATGATAAGTTTCCTGATGCTCAGTCAATGTGACAAGAGAAATTCATATGATATCCACACATGAATGGTCATCTAGACCTGAATTACTCTTGATACTTCTTTACAAAAATTTTACAAAAGAGAAAAGGTACACATACATACACCACAGGCTACAAATAGAGATAAACATCCCAAAGGTAAACCCAGGCTAGGTCTCCCCAAAGGCAGAAAGGCAATGGTGCACTAGAAGCACTGATGGCAGCTGAAGATGGGAGTCTAAAAATGTAACTTCTGCTAAAAAAAAATGCACAACATGAACCTCATTCTTTTTAATTACAATATTCTCTTGGTCTCTTAAATAAATAAAGATAAAGTTTAATACGCTTGTCCAAATATCCAAAAATAGACATCCCACCTCATGCACAAATCATGGGACACTATGGGAGTAGTAAAGAAGTGATTCCAATATCCTGGAGAAGAATTTGAAACCAATTATTTCCATAGCCATATTATCCATCAATTTGCAGTCAGCATTAGCACTCAACGAAGGCTTCTTAGTACCCCATAAAAGAACATCCTAATTAGGTAATGAGCATAGGATGTGAAACAAGAAGGGTGTGTTGATAGTGCAACCCAGCCTTTATGAAGGCTTTTAAAGATAAGAGACCATAGCATCTTCCAATACGAGTGAGTAGAATGGACACATTGAAAACTTGATTGACATCAGATAGCATATCAGGTCTGGAGATTGTCAAGTACTGAAGTTCCCCCAACCAAGTTGTGTGTATTTGGTGGGGTAAGGTAGAGTAACGGTGTAGATGTGCCCCCCCACACACACAAACCCCCGCCCAAAAAAAAACATTCCCCTATTGGAGTTGTGGCCCTTCAAGGCCTTGACACCAAGAATTCTTGGTCACAGTGGGAGTTACTAGAGACGTGTGACTCGCAGAGTTGCAGGATCTGTGTTAACTAGGATCTGGAGTTGGTGTCCATAGAGTCACTAAACCCCGGTCATGAGGCTCGGTTTAGGTGCATTATACCCAGAAGTGTTTGAGGGTTTTCCCTTGGTCAAGGTTGGTGAGATAACCTCATGATCAATTGAGTCTGGGCATGATATTTAGAATTGATATGTATCTGCATGTTAAGGAAATGGTTAAATATGGATCAAGAATACATGTATGTGAGACTTTCTGAGATTTTTTGTGTTGAGCCTTGTGTAAAAAGGATCGGCTCTGAGAGGACATAAGCCAAATTCCTGACATTGATCTCACTCACAGTATGTGCATATGACAGTCCTAAACTGGGAAGCTGCTCTCATTCAGGTAGATCCACCGACAAGAGACATGTACATGTGCTAGAGAGATTTCCCCACATCCCAAGACTGTATCCTCGGGTGACTACCTGCAATCCACTTTACGTCTAGGACCTAGTCACCTATTGGGTTAGCTTTGAAGGGCCAAGCATGAAGTCCCAGCTTGAGAATGTGGGTCATGGGCTCGAGCTCGTTGGGCTAACTTCAAGAAAGCAACCAGAGGGTCTAGACCTAGCCGAGTGGAATACCCAAACAATTGAGAACGAACTCCTTAAGGATCCTAATTTTTCCAAAATAGAATTTTTTCCATGCCCTACTTTTAATGAAAAATATTGAAAAATGTCAGAAATAATTTTTGGAAATTTTTCTTGATTTTTTCTAGATCCCAAAACCCACCTATACCCTTCGTTCGGGGTAAATGACACAGGACACCACCCCATAGGCCCAAATGGCAAATAGGCCGTACAGAAGCTGCCATGTGGCCACTGATGTCAGCCACACGTTAGCTAAGTGGCTGAAAAGTGAGTTACGTCAGGCCTAGGTGTGGGATGCCCCCCTCTTTGTTCCTTGGACTGTTTTGGTATTTGTAAGTTTGTTCACTTACGAACCTTCAATATTTTCATGAGTATGAGAGACTTTTTCCTTAATTTTGGGACCTTTAAGCCAATGGAAAACCTAGATATAAAGTGACTTTTATGGTGTCTTCCTCTCATTGGTTACTTTTGCGACCATGACACCACATGTATGAGCGGGGGTGAGGTGTTGAAAGAGAACCTTTTTCAATTCAAATTGAATTTGAATTTAAAGAGAGAACAGTTTTTGTAGAGATTTTAGTGGTATGCCTTCCATAAGGTCTTCTTCTCACACTTTATTCATAAAGCAATTTCTTGAATTACGGGATTAATTTATTTGGAAAATTCAGAGTTGTTTTCACACATATGGGGATAATGGTGCAGAAATCACAACCTACATCTATGATAGCTATTTGTGGGTTGGACGGCTAGGATCAAGCCTCTCTCCAAGCCCTTGATATTCTAGTTGTGTGGTCTAGATTCAATCCAACTAAAAGTTAACTCAAAACCCTAGCTATTAGAGGGAGCTTAAATCACCCCAACAAAGCCCCTTTCATACTTGTTAGAGTGAGCTACAAGAGAGAGAGAGAGAGGCACGCCCCCCTTCGTCCTTACCATCTCTCATCCCCCCATTAAGGTGCAAACTAGGAGGCCCTTCCTTGGAGGTTAAAAATGACCCTTCCATGGTGTTTTTATCCCTTTCTCTTATTGTTCCTGAGACTTACAGCAAGGTAATCTTTTCCTCTATGCCTTGTTCTTTTAAGCTTTGGTTGCCCATGCATGCCCATTTAGTTACTAGGCATTTTGGCATGTACATGGTTTGATTTGTCCCATTTGAACTGATTTTCTTTGAGATATTCTGGCTGAAATTATACCTACATATCAGCAAGATATTTGGCCTATTTCTCATATACAAAACTTGATTTTAGAAAGGGATACCATGCCAAAGTTTCCCCATGCATTCTATTCAGTAAACCATGTTCCATAGGACCTAGATTGGGCTCCACGCAACTCATACTCATATCTTAAGGTCGCGTGCTAATTCTTTGATTCTAGTTTGATGATTATGGTGATGATTTGATTTAAGCCTTCATGATTTATGCTTTCTTTAAAATTTGGATTGAGATTAGACAATCTACATCTTGCTATCAGATTGAGTAATCAAAGGGATTGTGCTCAAGTTTTTAATCGACAATTTCGTTATGAAAAAAGCTTCTCATGGTCTAGTGACTGCGCGCACTACTTTGGTGTTGTTTATGTAATTGAGATTGAGTCAACTTCATGTATTTAATGATTATATGATTTATGTCATTGAAGTATTCGACTTGAGGACTGTTGGAGATGTATTTTTCTTTATGCAATGTTGTAATGTGGCCAATCTCTACGTTGTGGAACTAGTGAGGGACCAATCCAGAGTCTTGTAATTTTTCTTTTGGGGTGTTTTGATTATGTATTTGTGAGCCAAAGGGGCTCAATGCTTTCTGTAATCTCAATCAAGAGTTGTAATTTTTGAAGTTTTTAAGTGAAATTTTAAAGTTGTTGCATCTTGGACACAAGCTCATGACACCCCGACACCTCCCCCGCCCCCCTCTCTTTCTCTTAAACCTCCGACATGGAGATGATCTTGTACTCCTAAACATCAAAATTTCATGAGAAAATGCACAGCATAGTTGAGACAGATATTATAACAGTGGACGATCAATTTACTAAAATACTCTAGAAAGCACATATCTTGTCTTTTTGATAAAAAAGAAGTTGTGCTCATGACTGACGATCATGCATAATATATATGCGCACCTATATCAATGTCTAACCATCCTAAGCATAAAATGAGAAGCTATATGGGTAGTGTTAATAGCTCAACCCAGCCTTTATGGAGGCTTTTAAGGATAAGGGATTGATAGCAGCGTCCAATACGAGTGAGTAGCATGGCCACGTTGACAGCCTGATTGACAGCAGATTCCATATGAGGTCTGGAGAGTGTCAGGCCCCCAAACAAGTTGTGTGTACTTGGTTGGATAAGGTAGAGTACCAGGGACAGAAACTATAACATGGATAATGAATTTACCACAGTACCAAGAAAATATTATAGAAAGCATAAATCTTGATTTTTTAATTAAAAAAGAAGTTACAAGTTCAGGAGACAAACCTGCATGACTAATGATCATGCCTATCATTATACATGCATCGATATCAAGTATCCCTGTATATCCCCACTAGGGTGAGTTTTACTATGTTAAGGACTCTTCTTACTCAAGTTGGCACACTGTCATCCAAACAATAGCACATCCGAATTTCACATGTATTCACTGACAAGAAAACATGCTTCAAGTTGTCATGATATTGGAAGACACAAAATAGTTCAGACAGTAGATCAACATTGTTCACACACATACTCACAAATGAGATACCGTAAGAGCCAAAAACTGGAAAATTCTTATTAAACAGTCTCCTTGTAGCGCATGTTATAATATCTTCTATATCATTTCTTTCTAGTAATCAAAAAATTGTAAATAATTTAACATATAGCTGTAGCATAACATAAATTCATGCTAGACATAGAAATTAGGCTACCTCGATAGACGGGGGAACTAGTGGCCTTCTTCCCTTCAGCTCTCGTGTGAGGAATTCAAGCTTTTTCTCTTCATCCCAATCGCTGTATGTACCCATGTCTAGGTACTTTGTAATTGCATCTAGTGTTTCAGAATGCCTACCAGATTCCTGATACATCAAACCACTCAGGCAAAAGCATTAAAGCGAGCAAGATGAGATTTGCATCCATATTTGTACGCACCTGGCGTAAATCGAGCTTCATCAATACCATCCCAAAGGTAGCAACCCTTCTGATCAAGTCAGCAAGCCTCCCATCTGCCAGGATGACCGATCCACAGGATTGCTGCAAACACCAATAATTAGAAGCCAGCTGTTCATCATATAACTATAGAAATGAGGTGCAAGTTTGACAGGGGAAAGCAGGGTACCAGGGATGCATAACATAAGAGAAGAGGTTCTAGAAGCTGTTCAGATGTTTCGTAGTAATCAGAAGGATCATAATCACAAGGAAGACCTTCAAGAAGGAGCTCCAACCGCCTCCTTGTCTTAATAAGCTACAATCAGTTGCATCAAAAATATTATTACATAATACCAATAATAAACATAATATTATTGCAAAAGAGGAAAAGAAATGGGGCAAGCACTGATCCATGATACATAGATAAGTACAAAGGAGGATCCAACAAAAAATGGTTTAGCTGCGGCTTCTACACAAACCAAATGAAACACAACCAGAGTATTCCACAGGACACTACCTTTTCTCTTACATCTCCAAGAACCAGTCTGTATGGAGCAATTTCTGGCCATTGCGGTACTCTTGGCTCTAGAAGCTTTTGAAAGCTGGATCTACCAACATCAGACTCTGCAAATAGTTTCCTCCTCATAGCTTGAGTAGAATTCATAAAATTAGACCTAGGAGTACTTGGAGCTGATGAACATCCTAATCCAGCAGATTGCAGGGAGCTAGAAGAAGCTGAGCATTCATCCGCTGTCACATTACCATTTGCAAATGTTTTGGGGAAATTTTGAACAGAATCTTTTGTCAAAGAAACTGAAATTGCTGAGTTTTGATCATCCTACAATCAAAGGTATAAACCATTATTATATTCAAGAGTCAGTAGATACCTAAGTGATGGAATATGGTGGTTTAAATTAAGGAGAGAAGAAAATTCGCGAAATTCCCTCTGAACAATGTTCTATCTGATTTGCATTACCTCAATTTCACTTTTGGTGTAATCAGGGCGTGGAAATTCCAGAATGGGAAGTTGTGAATCTCCATCGTTGCATTCTAAAAGAGAATAATGAACTTATTAATTTAAAGGTTTCCTGGCGTATATCTTTAGTTCTTCATTTAGAAAAAAGACTATAGAACATAAAAATCCTGCCAGTAATGAACCCCTGACATCTTGTAAGCAGCTAAAAACATCCTTATATTGTGAGCAAAACATTTTTCTTTGAAAGAAAAAAACATTGGGTAACATGCTGATGGGAATGAGCAGCTTAGGGTGAAAAATACTTCAGGAAATTTTCCCTGCATAATTTGTAAATGCAACTCCTTTATTCAATACTAAGACTTGTAACATAAAACAGAATTCACTATTTGTATCCATTACTAGAGATTCGTTTGAACTATCTATATGCTGCCTCAATCATAACAAATATTCTGCACTCATAACTCAAGAGCTCTGACTCTTCTCAGGCACAAATTTGTCAGGCTAGGTTACATAGAATTTAAGCTTTCATGGCAATTGAGAAGACATAACGGCTCTCCAAAAAAATCAAGTTGCAGTAAGATTTCTAAGTTACTAACCAATAAAAGAAAATGAAGGCAGGCATCCAAACTACTGAAGTTGAAGAATTCAAAGGATGGATAAGGAACCATATAACAAGTATATCACTATATCCTATTTTGATTATAGAAGAACAAAAGAAAAATATGGAAAAAGTTAATGGGCCATTTGGGGCCTAGTATTTGCAAAACCTGGTCATGCATCAAATTTTGGGTATACATATTCCATTATTTGTAAACATGTTTTAAGGATCAATATCGTTTGGGTACCTTCCGGATTAACCTAGCTTATAACAAATCCCCTGTTTGGTTCACCTAAATGTAAAACACGGTTTTGGCAATATAAAATTATTATACTAAAATATAATAATACTAATATTAATAATAATAATAATGACAATAGTCCATAGAAAATAATTATTATTATAATAAGTATATAGTAATATAATATGATATTACTATCATAAGATAATAACATAATATTATCACAAAAATATTTAAATGATTATTATTTGAATAACAAATATTTAAAATAATAATTACCACAATAATACTTACAATAATGATAATAATAATAATAATAATAATAAAAATAATAATAAAAATAATAATACACATAAATACTATAATTATATTATAATATCATAATCATAATTATTATATAAATTGTATTTTATTTTATTAGTATCAATATAATATTATAATATTAATAAATTCTATAATAAAAATATATAATATTTTAATATTCACATAATACAATATCAATATATTATGATAATGACATAATATTTTATTAAAAATATTATCATATTATATTAGTATAATGATATTATATGCTATAATTACATTATAATATATTTATATCATAATATTATAATATTAATATTAATAATGTTAATGATAATTCACGATAAATATTTGGAATAATACCCCTCATCCTTGTTGGTGCGTTGGAAGCACGTCTAAATGATGTTCGAACTGTCCAAGGATCGAGGCGGTGGGAGAGAGAGAAAAAAGATAAATATTTGGAATAATAATAATCATAATAAATAGAGCATAATGGCGGACCAGGATTCGTATAGCTGATCCCAATTAATTGGAAAAAAGCTATGATGATGATGATGATGATGATGATGAATAAAAATCATAATAATAATAAGGCACATAAATATTATAACTATATAATAATATCCTAATATTAAACAAAAAAATATAATGATATTACAAGTTATGATTAAATATAAGGGAAAATTACATATCTATCCGTTATATTTTGCGTTATTACGGATGTACCAAATAGTTTCCGTTATTACATATATGTCCCTTTTTTACCTTTTATAACACAATTTTTTAAAAAAAATGACTTTACCCTTTTTGGGATGTTGAATAACCGAATTGGAGGGTTTTTTAGATGTTCAACATCCAAAAATTATCCGAAATTTTTAACGTTCACATTCCCATTTTCAGGTGTTGAACATCCGAATTGAAAGGTTTTTTGGATGTTGAACATCCGAAAATAGTTTCGGATGTTGGACATTCGAAAATGTCATATTTTCGGACGTCCAACATCCGAAACTATTTTCACAAGGAATACAATGTATCGACATAACCCTTCAATTCAGATGTTCAACACCCAAAAATGGGAATGCGAACGTTAAACTTTTAACCTATTTTCGGATGTTGAACATCCGAAAAAACCCTCCAATTCGGTTGTTCAACATCCGAAAAATGGTAAAGTCATCTTTTTAAAAAAATTGCATTATAAAAGGTAAAACCCAGACATACATGTAATAACGAAAACTATTTGGTATATCCGTAACAACGCAAAGTATAATGGATATTTATGTAATTTTCTCTAAATATAATAATACAATATTAATCCTAATATTAATAATATTGATATTTTATGATAAATATTTGGAAAAATAACATTAATGTAACAAAATAATAATAATAAATATTAAACATAAAATATTATAACTATAGAATAATATCATTATTATGACGAGTGAGAAAGAAAAGGGGAGGAGACACGTGCCCCAATGCTAAAGATAGCTTTCCCAAAATCTTGCATTTGCTCATTCCAAGTTTTTTGGGAATGAGCAAATGCTGGATATGAGTGGTTTTGAGGATGTGGATATCCAGGGTATGATCTCGAAAACTACACCCAAACGACATTAGGCCATCAAAACCTGGATATACAAAACTGGATTTGCATATCCTAGGGTTACAAACGACCCATAAGTGAAAATAAATTTGAAAAGACATGAGAAATGAGCAAACCTGTGCATGAAGGCATATCTGCACCAACAGGAAGTTGAGATGGCAAGGGCGACATCTGTTGGTCAGGATTCTTTTGATGACTTCTATGCACCGACTGATCTCGACCTTCGTAATGGCGGTCCTCAAGTGAGGACTCTGTGAAGATATTTAAGAGTGATACTGCTTAAATGACTAAGATCAACCCCACCGCATGCATGCAAACTCCCATATCTTTCATGTCTTCTTTAAATTGGAAATATCCAACAGAGTTAAAAATTCCATCTAATGGTATAATCAAATTTCAATTGTAACAATGCTGCTGACTGCACAATTTACCATATAGAGTGCAAAATTATAGGACTCAAGAGATGATGATGGCTAACACATAATCCAATCAAACCTCAGAAACATTCTTAACTGAAAGGACAATCCTCTCAATTGCCGCAAACAAGACTGCATTAGCCAGAATTTCCAGACATATTTGTCCTCTCTCTAAGAAAGAGGATCTTTTTCTTGTTGTCTGTAAGCTGTATACATGAGAGCATGGAAAATCCTTCTAGTTGGTATTAATCATCAAGGAGAAATGGTAAGTTCAAATGTGCTTAACAAGGGTATCTTTATCAGTCAGGTGTTTTTATCAATGACTGACTTGTATTATTCTTACTTCTAACTAAATAAGCCACATAATTATTGAAATCTAATTGTATCAGAGGAGGAAAAATTTAAAAATATATTTGGATTCCACATAGTAGGAGTTTCAAGACATTGATTTGACACACTGAGAAAAGAAGTAACCTCAGCAACGCGACCAAAGCATGCTAAAAGACATATGAACCATTTCACGGATTCAATAAGGTTTTAGGTTCCCTTTTCCAAGGCTTTACGATGTTATGTGCCATTTTCTTGAGCCCCCGGACATGAATGTTTTACAAATGTGAGTTCAAGGTTTCCCATATGAAAGGCTAGTACAAACTGTGATGAGTACATTTGAAATAGAACACGACAATTTGCACATTGTTGCCTTATGGCTACATGGCAAGAGAAACTTCATTACTTCAAACAAAAATATGACTGAAGACTGAACTTTCTTTTCAATGCATGATTGTCCATGGTCTTACTGGAACACACTTGAAGCATATTGAAGATGTCAAACCTTTTTGTAGACTTTCGTAAGCAAGTTTGGCTAACTCCTCACTACAACGGTTCATTGAAAGTTCAAATCTAAGACTGTCTATTTCACGAATGTATAAATCGGCTGCCATCCATCGTGAGAGAAAGGAAACATCCCTTGTAACCTGGAAGAGAAAAATGTTATATATCTAGAAAATTAAGGGATTAGGGAGGGAAAACAATCCCATGGGCTCATAACAAGCACCTCTGGCTATGGCTCAATAACCAACCACAAAGTATATGGACCCCAATTGAAATTATATTGCATGGAGAGTATAGAGAGAGGAGAAAATTGAGAGACAACCAACCACAAAATGCAGCCTAGGTTTGGAATAAATTCATCCTCACCAGAACTTTCTATCCAGAGGACACTAGTTTCTGAAGTACAAGTCTCATAACTATCAAACCAACATCTCACCTTCGAAGTTACATTAGGATTTCCATCCCTATCACCACCCATCCAAGAACCAAACCTAATTGGGGTGCAAGTCAAAGGAAGCGGTCGGCCAGTGTGCTGCACAAGAACCATATAAATGTGAAATGCCATAAGAATGTGACAAGCTTGCGTCCTTTACACAAGACACAAAAGACACCTTTTTCAAAGCAGCGCTGACACGGCGAAGATATTGAGGCACAGCCTTCCAAAGGGATTGTTCCACAATGTGGAGACCTGGAAAGAACATGATGGTCTTGAGCAAGAATGATAGCAATATGAAAGGTCAGGAGTCCATGAGAAACGCATAGTACCAGCCCTTGCTTCATCTACCGGAGACGGTCTATGACGTCTCAGCTCATCTGTTTGCCACAAGGATGTTATTTCTCTTACCTAAAAAAGCCAAAAGAAATAGGAAGATCACATAAATAATTCAAAAAAAGGAGAAGGTTTGGATAAGGGATCTTGTGCAAGGCTTGGGAATGTGCTTAGTGACATCGGTGACTTGGGTCGGAGTCTAGGAGTTTCAATCCCTTTCACAGGGAAGATAATGGTTTTGCCAACAGAGAGACTAGCTTACCCTGAACATACAAGTGGTATGAGCTATGGGCTCCAAAGTCTGGATTTTTCTTGAATTGTAGTTTTCAGACTTTCTTAACATGCAAGTGATTATTTGAAAATGCAAGATTGCTGCTATGGTTATAAATTACCATAAAAGTAAGATCCGAAAGGGGAAGTTAAGTTTAGTATATAGAAAAAGGGAAAAGGGATTTACCATTAATTTATCAAAAAACAAAAAGGGAAAAATGAATTATCGAGGAAGAAGGATACCAGATCTTCAATCAACATCTCTCTATCTTCATGGCTCAAGTCAGGCCGGTCATTAAATTCTAATAAATGCTGCAAAGAAAATATAAAAAAAATGGTAACTACACAATAGAATCTATTCTAGTAACTTTCTGAATAACCTACTCGTGTAGTGGCCAATAATAAAAAAAACTTGAATGCGTGTATCAAAGTAAAGTAATCACAAAATTCTAGAAGTAATGCAATTAACTTTTCAGGGAAACTCAGGTGTACAGTAGAAGGAACAGCGATGCTGATAGCATATTAATTTGAACATGGAGGTTCCAATGGCTGATTTTTATTAGAAGTCAATAGCTTCCGAGGCAACATTGCAAACTAGGCCATTGACTAAGCAAGTTTTCTTAGAGTTGCCAATGTGGATAATGCGGGTTTATGCGGGCCACTTTCTTGCGGAAGCCATTACTTCTATGGAAGAAGATAGCTATTTAATTACAAATGAAGAATGGACAGGTTATATCCTCCATTTCCGTCTCCATGTCTCCTGTACTACACAAAATGATTGTATCATAGCCTCTCTTTTACATATAGTGAGATCCCTATGAAAATAACCTGACTGATTTTTTAACTCGGATATAACTTCCTGATATTTTAGCTAGCATGAAGCCAAAGAGCCATATGAACATGAAACAGGACATTTCACCACAAATAATAGAGGGATAGTCTGTCGTGAAATATTACAGCAATTCTGATGTGCTTGTATTGCAAAGTCCGCCTGTTTATTTGTGTTGGATGAGCAGTGAGAACGATCTCCACCTCCTGTGGCATGGCATCATTGGAATGAACATAACTTCATCAAAAGTTTCCTATTATGCAAAAGAGCACAGAGCCAACAGTAATGAAGGAGGGCGCGGCAAGTAGAGACTGACAAACCAGTTTGTTCATTTATGCTAAAAACACCCAACATAACCAACCTGTTTACAAACAGTGTTGTAAAGGTCATCGGGAGGAACTCCGGTTTGGATGATTCTGTTGAATATGTCGTCACATGATTTTGATAAATGAACAGTGTTTCGAGCCTTGCGCACCCTGGTTGTGATGATGACACAAAAACAGTATAGAAATCGAGAGTTACTCAGAATAAGGCATGGTTGAGGAATTGAACGCTCATCATCGTCAATATCTATACATGGGGGGAGAGGATACCTATGATGGGTTTCGGCGATGCTCATGAGGTTGAGGTAATGGCTGAACGCTCGGGCGACGGTGACAGCATCCTGGAGGGTCATCTGAGAGATCTGAAAGGAGAGCTGTTGGTCTATAAGGTCCGGGAGGCGGCAGCCATCCTCACCTTCGACGCCAATTCCGATGCCGGCGGAGCGCATGTTGCAGGAGCAGAGGGAGAGGACCCTCTTCCTCTCAATCTTGTCGACGAAGGCCTGCCCCACTTCCCTCTGCAGCACGTCGTTCAAGAGGCTCCCCAGCAAGCGGCAGTCGTCCTCGAACGACTGAAACGATATCTCCTCTGCGATGTCATCCGTTGTGTCCGTCATCTTTCTATCGAGGAAGAAGAGAATTGAGTGAGTGTACAAGTTATTCGTCGAGAACTCGGTCTGAGCTCTGGAGACCCTGTTGTTGTTTTGTTGCCTGTTCAACTGTCATAAATACACAGAACCAACAATGAGGGAGGTGCTGGCAGGGGAGAGAGACAGAGACATCTGTTTTGTACGCTTGTATTGTTGCGCGATGCAGGGTAACTGTGGGGGAGATAGAGACGACTGAGTTAACCCCCCCCCTTCCGGTAACTGTGATTTATTACATTTATTCCCTCTCTCGCAAATATTTTTTTCCCTTGGAATTCATTGAGAAGGCAATCGCAAATCAAATTTTCTCGACTCAATTCAATTTTTTAAGTGGCTGGCCTGACCGCCGCATAACAAATAGGGGTCGCAATGGACCAGGTCCCAACCAGAAACCCGACGGTAGACCGATGTGGGTCGAAAAATTCCACCTCATAGCTCTGCTTCGGGTCCAAAAATACTATTTGGGTTGGGATTCAGATTTGGATCCAGTTTCAGTAATATTTTTCGAGTCTCAATATATAAAATATATTTAAATACAATTAAATACATAAATATTTTAATTTGGTTCGATCTCGGTCAGGGTCCCGACCGGTTGCTACCCCTCCCGCGAACAGGAATACGAAAGAGTCAGTATCAAAGTCTAAGGGCAACCAAGGAAGGAGAAGAAATATGATCCACCTCTAGTGCCGCATCACACGTGGTACATGAACTCCCCCAACACATTTATTAAACACCTTCACAGATTTTTATTTTACCATATGTAGTGGACATACGTAATGGTCCTTTCCCTACCGATGGGTACATTAACAATCATATATGGGTGTGGTTTCTATGAGGTCGCACCATCAAATTTGATGTAAAATATTCTTAAGATTATCTCAAAACCTATTTTTATATTTAATTATAAATTTTTAAACTTTATAAATAGTTAAAATCAAATAGATCTATAAACATATAAAAATTTTAAAAATGGATGGTCCAGATGATGTGTTGTAAGATGCATTATTTTTCAGACTCAAAATCTTTTTTTCTTTCATAATCATACATCTTGATGTTGAAATGTTCAGTTAGTAGTGGGTTTTTCAATATTAAAATAATATTTTTCTCATGGATTTTTTAGGTGCATATGTAATTCTACGTTTTAAGGTTACAGCCTTATATAAACTTTTTTATCATATACTTTATCATAGAGGTTACAAGTTAGTTTTTATTAATTTTTAAAAGCCCGTAAAAACTATACTGTGCGGTGATGTCCTAGAAATGACATGATAAATAAGTGCAATATTAAATAGTTGATATTGCAGTCAAGACCGTACGATTTTGTTTGTTTCCTTATCGTAAATGACAAAAAAGCGAGGAGCCCACCCACGGGCACCAGTGAATTTGCGTCGGTTTAGGAGCAAATGGCCTTTTGGCTGCTCCATGAGATACAACCTCAGACCTTCCATAGTTTTTATGGTTGGCAAAGGGTCGGGTACGATCCCCTCCAGACCCGACACGGACCAGAACCAAAAAAAAGTAATAGGATCTTAACCCGATTGGACTCGAATAGATTTGGACCTGGACCTGAATAATGTTTGGGTCCAAATATTGGACCCAAATCCAACTCGTCGGGTTCAATTTTCGAACCCATACCTAGACCCTTGTTGAGTCCTGGTTGCCACCCCTAACTTCCAAGAAAGCCTTCTAAGACTATTGGACACACAGTAGCTCATCCTCTTCTTCACTCCTCTTCTTCACTCCCTCACGTAAAACTCTCTATATTTAGTGACTAAACATAAAATAATTCTTGGCGATTTAAGTATGATATAATTCAAAATTTTCTTCTTCTTTCATATTTTCAAAAGTAGATTAAATCTGTTTAAAAATTCAAATAAAAAAGAGGCATATTGAGAATGGAAAACAACAAAAAAACAAAAATGGAAACCATCACTTTTTATGGTAATTAAACAATTTGATTAAGTTTATTTTGTAATCTTTTAAATCGATTAAAACAAACAAAAATCAAATACATGTTTAAATCAATTATTTAAATTTGATTTTTAAACAAAAAGTTTTCCATATGCCATTTTTAGGCTGATAATGATCCGGGACTTAGCCGATTCCACTCAAACTCTACCTCACCAGGTTGACGCCCATGTTAAAACTTCTAAAAAGTCATAAATTTGTTAATAAACATCCAATAAATGATGTAAATATAATTTTAAAATAATTTGCATAGTTTTATGATGGTTTGGGAACTTTTTTTTATCACATACTCCAATTTTTCATTTTTTTCCTTTTTCTTTTGCATTATGGGATATTTCAAGAATTTTGGATCCAGATCAGGATTGCTGCGTATCAATATGATTGTTTTCTAGTATTGACAATTAGAGTGACTCTCCCGGTTCTCGGTTTCCTCTTCAAAGAACCAGGCACATGGTCCCCACTTATTTTATTCTATGTTAATCTATTTATTTTAATTATTTTAAAATTAAAATATATTATTTTTGTTTTCCCGAATCCATTGCCAATTTCTGCATAAGAGAAGATTCAGCTTTGTTCTTCCCAGATCGACAATCCCAATTGTCCAGCCCGTTTGTCCACCGACTCATCCGGTTTCTAAAACTGGCGGAACTGGAAACTAAGAACAATAGATGGGGTCTTCCCACAAGTGGGTGAGGTGGGGACAAAGGAAATCAATTCAATACAAAGTAATTCCACATAAACTCATAAATGGATAACACACCAAACCTGAGCCAAAACCATCTTATCCACTACAGCCTTCTGTGCTCTTCTCCTTCCCCACACCATCTCAAAATAGCTTTCGGGCCTCATTTCACAAGGGGGTCTACAAACCATCTTGGGTCGGAATCCACTCAGCAGTATGGTACTTAACCGCATGGCAGGAGCCATGAACTTTGCAATGCGTCCTACACAAATGCCTCCTGCCCCCTCCAATAGAGGCATTCGACCTCCCACTGTCATTATTCCACAGCCCACAAACTCTAATAACAACAACAACATTGCCAGCAACACAACCAACCTCCATGGACGACGACGAGACCTGCTGGTGTCGACCCCTATTGCATTGATTCTCTCCACTGCTACCACTAGTGATGCCGCAAATGCGGATCCCGAATTGGAATTGGAGGGGAGAGAAGAGGCTACTGATACTACTGCTAGTACCACCAGTGCCACTGCTGAGGGGGAGGAGGAAGAGGTTGCGACGACGATGCAGCAACAGAGCGAGATTAGAAGGACGAGTTGCTCAGAGCTTGTCGTTACACAGAGGGTGTTCATGGAGGTCTCAATCAATGGGAAGCTGGCAGGACGCATTGTGATCGGGCTATTTGGTGAGGATGTCCCCTCTGGGGTCAACAGATTCTCTGACTTGGTAACGGGCAAGGCAGGCGCCAGCTATAGAAGGAAAGAATTTGTGAAAATCATGCCCAACTACATACAGAATGATGGGTTGCGCTCCTATGGGGTTGATGCCGAGATGCTGTCAAGCAGTAAGGGGGGTGATGTGGCAGGACTCTTGGAAGAAAGGGAGCACCTCAAGGAGAGATGTGCAGCAGAAGCAGACGCATCCGGTGATGGTATAAGGAACAGGCGTGGTTCAGTGGGCATTGTGATAAGGGACCCCTCAAAACCGCCTCCAGAGCTGAAGCTAGTGGCCAAACAGGGAAAGCTAGAGATCAAGGAAGAGGAAGCGAGAGGGAACCCCAATGGGACCATGTTCACTATCGCCACAAAAGATGCCCCTGAGCTCGACGACACCACCCTTTTGGTAGGTCGGGTTTTGGACGGTTGGGAGGTTGTGGACATCATCTCCAAGGTAGAGACAGTTCAGGACAACACAAGCTCCCCTTACTTCCGGTAAGTCCTGACTTTGACATTAAACTGAAATTTGGGTTTTCCCTACTATAACAGAGTGTATAAACTGAGTGTGGGAGGTGTAAACCGAACAGGGTGGCAAAGTTGATCGGGGACAAGAGAGCTGTAGTTGCAGAAAGAGGTTTCAATCGGCCTTACTCAAAGATTGTCATCACTAGATGCGGATTAATTGAGTAGCAGCACACCGCACGCACTGCATTTCTTCCGAGAGGAAACTCAAATAATTGGGAGATACACAGAGAGAAAACTCAACTCAACTAAACAGGACGGGACCAATCAACCAACCTCCCCCTACCCTGGACCGGTGTACTCGATTGTCGAGCGCTCGTCACATCAAATGTGAAATAAAAGCTTGACACATGCACAAAACCTGCTATTCCACAAAAGAGCACTCAATCCTCTATAAAATTATTGAACTGAAATGACTGAGCCAACCACCGATGCAAGTCATGGCCATCGTTCTTCACTGTTTAACTTTTGGGATCTGCAGGTGCCTCCTTATTCATAAACTTGTTTCTCCTAGAGAGGACGATACTGAATGACCAAATGAGCATGTCCATTGCATCACCTATCCTATTCTATTAGCCAACACATGGGGTTTATGTTAAGGTTATGTAAAAGAAAACAGTTATTTGATTCCTCGTGTCGCAAAGGAGAAGGCACTAACCACAAGCCAGATAGACCGTCATTTGGAGAGTCCCTGGTGCAAATATCCTTAGGACAAACTTCGTTCTTCATTTGATGCCTTCACATAGTATCTGAAATAGTAACTAGAGTGGATCATGGAGTGTAGGACCAACAGGAAGATGCTAGTCCATAAAGATGTGCCCTTTCGTCACGGACCTAATTGTACCTAACCATGATATTGACAAGGGATCTAACACATTAGGTTTAAAGTTTGGGATAAACTTCTTGTAACAATCCTAAAATTTCAAAAAAAAAAAAAAAAAGAGAAAAGATGCTTTTAATAGGTGATGGTCTGATTGAGTATGATGGTCCTTGGGGACCATCACTATTTTCAAAACTTTTACTTGGTTTAAAACTTTTGCTGCTGCTTTTGTTTGCAGCCTTTGCAGTTGCTGCTTGCAGCTGGCAACGTCCTTTAGCGGACGTGGTTTTCGTATGTTGAAAGCAGACGCTTAACATGACACCTCGGGTATGAGGTAGAGCATAATAAAATATTATAATAATACGTTATAAGAATTTAAATAGGGGATGTGAGCACTCCCACCCTAGAAAATTTTGAGATCTCTCTCTCTGGTCGAAACACAATGAACTCCTCTGTCTAACTGAATTTTTATCGGAAGCTCCCTCTCAAACATTTGTGGG